GTTCTTTTCTTATCTAAATTCATGTCTGCTATTCTCAACAAAGCACACATAATCTGTACTGAGCATTTGCTTGACGTCCCTGCCTCCCTCAACAAGCACAACAAAAAATGGCAATTGACCTTTGTCACTTTTTGTTCTTTGATTCTTGCTTTTGTTTTTTTTTTTTTTTTTTTTTTGCCTTCTTCTTTAATTCATCATATACACAAATTACTCTTGTTCTTTGCTTACCTAAATTCATGTCTGCTATTCTCAACAAAGCACACATAATCTGTACTGAGCATTTGCCTAACGTCCCTGCCTCCCTCAACAAGCACAACAAAAAATGGCAATTGACCTTTGTCACCATCTACTGCTCAAGGGCTCTGTTTTCTCTCGTCAAGAATCATGTTTCCAAAGAGAAAGCAATCAAGGTTTCGCCCGTTCCTTCTCATGTCGTTCTCACAATTCCCACCGAAAACAGTTGTTTCAAAATTGACGAGACCACTCTCACCGAGATTGTGAAGGAGAAAAAGCTTGGGAAGCTTCAGATAATTGGCGGGGTGAATGGGGTGGCTTCTTCCCTTCAAACCAGCCTGGATAGTGGAATCAAAGGCGGTGCTGAGGACATTGCTCACCGACAGGAGGCATTTGGTTCTAACACCTACAAAAAACCTCCATCTAAGAGTATCTTCCATTTTGTGGTGGAAGCTTTCAAGGATCTCATGATTTTGATCCTACTTGGCTGCGCCGCACTTTCTCTTGCTTTTGGCATCAAGGAGCATGGCTTGAAAGACGGTTGGTATGATGGTGGGAGTATTTTCGTGGCTGTTTTTCTGGTCATTAGCGTCTCTGCTATCAGCAACTACAGACAGAACAAACAGTTCGACAAATTGTCTAAAGTCAGCAACAACATCCAAATTGATGTCATCAGAGGCGGCAGGCGGTAACAGATTTCTATATTTGATATCGTGGTCGGGGATATTGTTTGCCTGAAAATCGGAGATCAGGTTCCAGCTGATGGATTGTTCTTGGTCGGACATTCTCTGCAGATTGACGAATCCAGCATGACAGGGGAGAGCGACCATGTTGAGGTGAATTCAAAGAAAAATCCGTTCTTGATTTCTGGTACCAAGGTGGTTGATGGGTACGCCCAGATGCTTGTCACTTCCGTTGGAATGAACACGACTTGGGGCCAGATGATGAGCCACGTGACAGGCGATAAAAACGAGCAGACGCCACTGCAAGTCCGGTTAAACAAGCTAACGTCGGCAATAGGTAAGGTCGGTTTGGCAGTGGCTTTCTTGGTTCTTGTAGTGTTGTTGGTTCGTTACTTCACCGGACACACTACAGATGAGAATGGAAATATAGAGTTCAATGGAAGCATCACAAAAGCCGATGATATAATAAATGCTGTGGTGGGGATAGTTGCTTCTGCTGTTACCATCGTCGTTGTTGCTATCCCAGAAGGGCTGCCATTGGCTGTTACACTGACTTTGGCTTATTCAATGAAGAAAATGATGGCGGATCAGGCGATGGTTCGGAAGCTTTCCGCCTGTGAAACTATGGGGTCTGCCACCACAATTTGCACTGATAAAACAGGTGCTCTTACACTTAATCAGATGAAGGTGACAAAGTTTTGGCAGGGAAAGGAAGCCATGGATGGAGCTTCTTCTTCCATTTCTCCATTTGTTGTTAAATTGATTCATCAAGGAGTTGCTCTGAACACAACCGGGAGTGTTTACAGAGGTTCTTCAGGGTCGGAATTCGAATTCTCTGGTAGTCCAACGGAAAAGGCAATTCTTTCTTGGGCTGTTCTAGACATGAAGATGGATCAGGAGGAAAGAAAGAGGAATTTCACAATTCTGTTTGTGGAAGCTTTCAATTCTCAGAAGAAACGGAGCGGAGTTCTGATCAAGAAGAAAGAAGATAACACAGTTCACGTTCATTGGAAAGGAGCAGCAGAAATGATTCTGGCTATGTGCTCAAGCTACTATGATGCTTCAGGAGTTATGAAAGATCTTAATGGAGAAGAAAGGATGGAATTCAAGAAAATTATTCAGGGAATGGCGGCAAGCAGTCTCCGGTGCATTGCTTTTGCTCACAAACAAGTTGCAGAAACAGAGGAAGAAAATGTGAAAGAGAAGAAAAAGCTTGAAGAGGAAAACTTGACCTTGTTGGGACTAGTAGGTATCAAGGATCCATGTCGGCCAGGGGTGAAGAAGGCAGTGGAGGCCTGCCAATCGGCTGGCGTGAACATTAAGATGATTACTGGCGACAATGTCTTCACAGCAAGAGCTATTGCCACTGAATGTGGGATTCTTCGGCCAGGTCATGACATGGATAGTGGAGCCGTTGTGGAAGGCGAGGAATTCCGGAACTATACACCAGAAGAGAGGATGGAGAAGGTGGAGAAGATATGCGTTATGGCAAGATCGTCTCCTTTTGACAAACTTCTAATGGTGCAATGCTTGAAACAGAAAGGGCATGTAGTTGCTGTCACCGGGGATGGTACCAATGATGCTCCAGCACTCAAAGAAGCTGACATTGGATTGTCAATGGGGATTCAAGGGACGGAAGTTGCAAAAGAGAGCTCCGATATTGTCATCTTGGATGACAAATTCGCTTCCGTGGCCACTGTTCTGAAGTGGGGCAGATGCGTTTACACCAACATACAGAAATTCATTCAATTCCAGTTGACAGTAAATGTTGCTGCTCTGGTGATCAACTTCGTGGCAGCCATTTCTGCAGGAGAAGTTCCTTTAACGGCCGTTCAGCTTTTGTGGGTGAACTTGATCATGGACACATTGGGTGCTCTGGCTCTGGCTACAGAGAAGCCCACCATGGAGTTGATGAAGAAGCCACCTGTTGGCCTCACAGAACCATTGATTACCAATATCATGTGGAGGAACCTCTTAGCTCAAGCTTTTTACCAGGTTGCAGTACTCCTAATCCTGCAATTCAGAGGAGAGTCAATCTTCAATGTGACTGAAGCAGTGAATGACACCTTGATCTTCAACACTTTTGTGCTCTGCCAAGTTTTCAATGAATTCAACGCAAGGAAGCTGGAGAAGAAGAATGTGTTCGAGGGTATTCATAAGAACAAGCTGTTTTTAGGGATCGTTGGGATGACCATTGTTCTTCAAGTGCTGATGGTGGAGTTTCTAAAGCGGTTTGCAGGTACGGAGAGGTTGAATTGGGGACAATGGGGCGCCTGCATCGCCATGGCTGTTGTCTCTTGGCCCATTGGCTGGATCGTCAAGTGCATACCAGTGCCAGAGAGACCTATTTTCAGCTATCTCAAATGGAAGAAGCACATATATTGCTTCAAAAATACATTCATTCTTTAAATATATGCTTGCATATCCTATGATTTGTTTCCTGTATAGGCTATAAGTCATTCATTCTTTAAATTTCTACCTAGATATTCTGTAATTAGATTTACAATTTTCTCCATTAATTCTATTTATAAATAGGAAACAAATAATAAAATAACTTGATTCTTGAATGTAATCAAAAGCATTATCAAAAATCAATATGCAACATGCCACAAAGATGAATAAGTTATTATTGTAACATTCGATAAGCACTTTCCAACCATTGAAGCAACATGAATCTCAGGAGTATGTGGAGAAAAGGTACCTTGGTGCCCAATATGAAGAGGTTTTGAACCCTTTGTTGAATCAAATAATGTCATTCTGGCAGGGTCTCTACCAACAATGTAAAAGCTAGCCCCTGCATTTATTTAAGATATTTCATGCCACAAGACTTCAGTTGGGCAGGCATAAGATATGGGAGTTGAAATATAGACACCATCTAGAACACCATCCTCAAGCACCTGATAAATCATTATCAAACTGATTCAGCAACAAAAGCAAATTTCTACCAAAAAAAAAAAAAAAAAAACAAATACATAAAGAATCAAATAAATAAACTAGTC